CAACTGCGAGATAAATAAGCTGAGCCAGTGCCAGGTGCTGGCTGAGCTGATTGAGCGACGCAGGCGGTTCGACGGGCGGTGGCTTGACTCTGACGGTGGTGTCACCTCCCCACGTGTTTATCTCTCCCGTCTCTCCCCTGCCCATGCACATGTTGGGGGGGAGGGGCATTTTCTGAGTGAAAGTTAGTTTGCTTATAGTAGCGCCATTGTTTAGTTGAACCTTGTGAAAACGCCTCTGTAGACATGTTGTAAGAAATCGCGGATACTGCATTTGCAATAAATTCATGAATTCGAAACCCCTCCAGTGTCCCTTCATTGCATTTGTTTTTTAAACATAATTTTGGTTGGTGACCTGACTACTTCTTTTATTCAGTGACGGAAGTGCTGCTTCGATTGCTCCCAACTGCTCCAAAAGAGAAATGCTGCTCCATGCTGCTCCTTAGTGCAATGTTTGCGATAACTGCTCCAAACCTGCTCCAAAAGGATGTAGGCAAACGAAAAACCATGAGACCGTACCTTGAGCCTAAGCGAAACAAACAAAAAAACTGTGTACACTATCATCCTAGTATGCTGCTCGACGGTGTAAATCCAGAAAAATCTCAAGTGGTGACACCTGTTAGGCCATGGTGTACAATTCATTTTTTATTATGCGTTGTATATTTATTCATATAAGAATAAAGTGATGCTTTTAAATAAAGTTTAAAAGAAATGAGTGTGGGGTTTGAGCTCAAGCAATTGCATTGTTCTATTACGTCTCTTTTTCACCTTGTTTGATTTCCATAGTTCGCGCAGCTGAGGAGCATTTAACACAGTTACGCAGTAAAAGATAGAAAGCCTTTCAAAAAGTTGATTGTGCTATACTGAACTGTTAACTCAGTTATATCACGTGGTAAATATAAATCTCAAGGGGGGCACTTGCAAGAGTCCTCCTCCACAACTTGAACAGAAGGGAAGTCCGAACTTTCTCAACCCCCCCGCCCATGATTTACGCCAACAATATTGTTTATATACTAGCATGCGGCATGTTTAATAATAAATATAGATATGTATTAGATGCCTAAGTGATGTTTTAGACTTCGGTAGTTATTAGGAACATGCATCTGCTCCGAAAACACCAACAGCAACTCTTAAGCTATAGCATTTTTTTTCTGCTCCGAAGAAACTTAAGGCTGCTCCAAAGCACCATTTTTTCTGCTCCAGAGTCTGCTCCCAAAAGTGAAGTGTCACTTCCATCACTGTTTATTAAGCACACTGCAGTTATCGGTGACTTCAATGAGTGGTTCTTCATCAGCTGGTTGGTACATATTTAAAGAAAACCAGAAATAATTAGGGGCGTATTCCTATTCGAACGTTTAAATATTTTTATTAATGTTTGTTGTTGTATTCGATTCACACTGGAATTTGATTATTCGAAATATTCAAGCTTCCCCAAAACAAACATAGTCAATGTTTGATTGGTGGTGGGCCCTTCAGGTATTTTTTATGGGTTTCACCCCATCAGAGCGTCTCATTGTAGCAAAGCTGCTTTCAGAGTCTGCTGTGGCCGCAAATGTATTGACTCAATAAATAAAATGCTGGATCCAACATGGAGATGATGAAAGCGGTGGAGGTAGGGGTACAATTAATGTCATTTTGGACCTGAAATTGGGGCATCTAGTATCTGAACTTCTCTCTGCAATGAATATTTAAAAGTTGTTCAATTAGATTCGCACTCACACTTCAATGTTGAAATTCACTTTCCATACAAAATTTTGCTATTTGCACAGCTCTAGAAGTAGCATTTCTAACGTGATAGCAGGAGACGGACTAGGCGCTGGTTACGTTGCCCTCTTAGTCACACCTTGACTCATTTGCCATGGGCTTCAATAAGGGGCAGAAAAGAGGAATGATTGAGAAAAATTTTGTGAAATTCGCAAAGAGTGTCTTCACATAAAAAATGTCTTCTATAAAAATTATGTAGATGGGAAGTGTACTTGGAAAAGCCCAGATTTCGCCACCGGCTGAGATTGAAGGATATTTTCTCTTGCTGGGTGAGTTGGTGCACATCTGGGATGGGAATCTGGGCGTAACAGATCAGGGGAACACAGGAAAAGGAAAAGGACAGAGTAAATGGAAAGAGCACAAACTGTCCAGTGGTGTTATTCGTTTGGTTGGTGCACATATGTGCACTTTTATTGCACATCCGCAAAAAATCGTGGGGAAGAGAGGATGAGGAAAAGCACATGTCAAGATTACCTCATGAGTTTTGCAGAAGATAAGCTGTTGTGGGCTGTAATCATTGTGGTTAAAAGAAGCAGACAACAGTACTGTTGCAATTTTCGTGCACACTGTAATGACTCGCAAAAAAAATTGTGGTTTTGTTGGGCAATGCAGGGGTGCAAGAATTATGCAAGCGCAAGAATAATGTGTTTAAACTCAGTATTCCGTAGCTGTTGTGTTTGTCTGTAGATAAATCTATTTCACCCATCATCTAACCTTCGAAACTTTGTGTCAGTGCTCTCTTAATTGTAAAAACAAGCCAACTTGCATGCAGTCATGTTAAAAACAAGACAAGTACAGTGCTTTTGAACAAGATGGAAATTTAGACCTGGAGTATGCCACCTTAATCATATCTAAAACAGTTTCTGAAACAGCATTTGAAATCAAGCCCAAAACACGAAAACAGAAATTAAAAGCTCTGTCAAATTAGTAAGGACCTAAGAAAGAGATGACAGCAGATAAAGGTAACTACCACAAGAGACAAAATAGAACTTGCTGAGATATGGAAACTAATAAACACATCAAACAGATACAAGCAACAGCATTAAGGCAGCTGAAAGAAGACTGTAATCCATGTGATTGATGTTAAGCAGGATAAAGCAGTGCTTGCTTTATCCTGCTATAGTGTCGTAAAGGCAGTTGAAGATGTGCACTGTTACACTCAAATGTAAATATTGCCCTTATTCTAGTGAAAGCAATATCGAGTGAGGCACCGAAGTCTGAAACGTAACTATTGATCATGTTAAAGTGGCTCCACAAGGCTTATCCTGCATGGAAGACATGCTCGCAACTTTTTTGATCATCGAGGCAGGCGATCATCTTATTTATGTTTGACTATCTCGTGACTCTCTATACATTACATTCTAAGCGTTCATTAAGCCAGTTTTCTTGATGTGAAAAAAGCATAAAACATCTAAGTCATAAATAGAGACTGAATTGTAGGTGAATGCCTAATTTGTTTCAGGCGTTCCTATCGTGCCACTTTGAAATATGAGCATAAATTAGAGATTAAGAAGAGTTTTTATAGGGTTCTTATAGTGCCTATAAAGGCCTATTTCTGATGTTAGTGCCTAAATTCCTATAAGTGCCTATCAGGGCCTATATGATTGCCATTTCTCCTCAAATTTTGCTTTCGAGTACGGTTGGAGACCAGCATTCATGTTATCATGCAAAACTCAGTATCGAGACTCTATGGGGTGCAATCTACATATAACTCCATCGCATATGTTGCTTTCAGCACTGTCTGGGCTACAAGGCCTCTTAGCCAATAAAAAGGCCGATTAGCCTTTACATATGTATCCATGTGCATCGCGTCGTCTGCTCGGCATCTCCGCAGCGTCTGCTCTCATGCGTAGGGAACAGGAGGTGCTTTTGTGAAGCTGCAGGACAATGAAGGACGAATGCAAAACTGTGGAATGTCATCAGAGGAAAGTAGAGTGTAGATTAAAAAAAAACACATGTGGTTTTTATTCTGTTTGTAATTTACTGCTTCACTAGGTCGCATGAGAAATTTTACTTGGACACTGGAACTTGTTGTGTGCCAAACGAAAAGCTTTGAACCGGTCCGCTAGAATTCTTTAATTGGTTCATTACAAGCTGCAAGAGCGTGATACAAGGAGGTGAGCTTGAAACCTTTGCCACTCACCAGGTGTAAACTTCACAAGCCTAATTCCTTCTCTTCCTCTTTGGTATCGGAGCAACTAGGAGCCGGAATATCACACAACACGGATGCATCAACAGATCATGCACATGGAGGTTATATTTGCACGATATGTTCATCACAGGTCGTGCACGCAAACGATATAGTGTCAATTCAACGTTATCTGTATTGTACACTTTCTGTGGGATGGATCCCTCTATGTGTACATGTTTGCAGAGGCTGTCATAGATCATGTTTCTTTACTAAGGTACACAACGTCGCACTATTGGAACTCTCTAAGGGACAATAAAAAAAAAAAAAACACGCCAAGCATTGTGAATGCTGCCACCAGCACGATGCGAGAACGGTGAGAACATTAACGCAAACGAAATAGAGGTAGCTTAGTCTTGCATTTCGCTCGATACAATGTTAAAAAAAGAGCGCGGATAGATTTTGTTTGTATGTTTTCTTATATTTGTAAATCATCATACTTCAATTCAGGCAACAGATTGCACAAATTACTCATTTGAAGTGAAATGAACTTTATTTGGTCCTGGAGAACTGGTCAGACACCCTCCTAATAGGTGTCCGCCGCAGTTGCTGGCCGTGCCCACGCCGGGACTGGAAGACCGTGGCCCTCCGCCCGTTCGCAGGCCTCCTGGACTGTCAATGTCGAGTATTGGATTGAGAGTTCTGGGCTTTTAAGAGCCCTCTTCCAGTCTTCTTCTGTGCTGAACTTTGCGCTATGTAACGCCGAGCACTGCCAGAGCATGTGAGCGAGTGTGCAGTTATGTGCCTAACAACTAAGGCATCCTGAAGTTATGCCATCCGCAAAGTGGCTGAATGTGCTACGAGATGGGAATGAACCGGCCTGTAGCATCCGAAGTACCGACGACTGCGGCAGAGTGAGCTTAGAATGCGGAAGCGGGTACCTCCGCCTAGACAACTGATAATGGGACGTCACTTCATTAAAGGTGCCAAGTGGATATTTAAAGGGAACCCACCTCCGTACCTGCCCGGACTGCCGCGGCACGTGATTTCTCGCACACGGTTATGGGCAAGTTCGTTGGCGTTAGGAAGAGTCAGATGTACTTTTGAGCCCATGTGGGCCGGAAACCAGGTGATTGTGTGGTATCCTGCTACACCCCTGGAATTTAAAATAGCGGCAGCCTTCCCAGAGATTACCGCCAAGGCAAAGGCCTGCGTGGCAGCCCTGGAGTCAGTAAATATCTCTGGATGCAAAGGGTTTGTCATCGCTAAGGCTATCGCTACCTGCTCTGCTACAGAGACAGATGCTTTCCCCGTGGAAGCTGAGTTGACTATGTGACCGCGATGATCAAAGACCACAGCTGAAAAACGATTGGAGCGGCCATACTGCACCGCACCGGTGAAAGCTACATTGCCCGTGAACCTAGCCACGAAATCAAGGAGAGACTTGGCCCGTGCCTTTTGCCGGCCAACATTGTACTGTGGATGAACGTTACGCGGGAAGGGTGCCACCTCGTTCGTGCCCTACATTGTTTGTGATAAGAACATCTTCTGTTCCTCTCCTGAATAGGATGATATCCAAGCAACTGTAGGAGACGCTGCCCAGCTTTCGTGGAGGAGAGTCGTGCGACCTGAACTAGCGTTTGTGCCTCGGTCACCTCTATGAGGGTGTTGTGCATGCCCTGACTCATGAGCCTGTCCGTGCTGGTGCTCATAGGGAGGCCTAGTACCCTTTTGATGCTTTTACGTAACAAAGTGTCGCGTTTAGACCAATTTAGCGAGGATGCCACGTAGTCTCGAATAATTCTTGCAGTGTCACGTACTATTATGACGTACGCAGTACCATTCGTTGTTGTACACGTCACCTCCACCATGTAGGGGCGCGCGCCCGCGAGATGAAGGTCAAGCGGCGTTAAGTCTGACGTTTCACTTCTTTCCGGAGCTCGTAGTATTGCAAATCTGGCAGATGAAATCGTGAGCTCCCAGTGTGTACATTTTTTTTTTGCTTCTTGAAATTCTCAAACCTGGTGAAGGGCCCTTCAAGGTATTCACAGACAGAATAGAACTTGACCCTGGGCGGTTAGACCAAGTTAATACGAGTCAAAATGACCCTTCCTACCTATAAGCATTCTGGATATTTGCTCCTGTGTTGCCCTTATTAGACATGCAGAGGAGAAAGAGACCCAGGATTCTGTTTATTCGATGGTGGACACATTAGCTCATCCTGCTTGGCTAGAAAAGGAGAGACTGCGTTCTGCAAACTCAGTGGGGAAAAAAATTGCATGGCTATGCTAGAGCATTGGTGCCCTTGTACCATCATAAACTAAAACATTTCTGTCTGCTTTCCTGTCCTAGACACAGATCCCACACGTATTTCTTTGAGAATTTGAATTTTGTCAAAGTTTATTGTGCCTATATTTACGATTTTTGGGGCCTAAAGGAGTGTTTTGCCTACCTATTTTTGGTGCCTAAAACCTGTTTTTTATTGCCTGTAAATCCAGCCTCTAATGAAAAAATCGCTGTGAACACGTTTCTGCAGTCTTCGAGATAATTTTAAACATAAATTGGAAGCACTCTTGAGCGTAATCCCACTTGAGAGCAAGCCCCATGGCATTGCAATGGTGGGTCAGTAAACCAGGTTGAGTCTTGATGCCTACCATTAGCGCAGCAAGGCCTAATGCACGTTTGACAACACTGAGTATGGAGGTACATTGGGCAGCCTCCCTTGGCAAGCACACGCTCTGCAAGGCCTCAGTGCTGGCCCTGTTAGATATGCTGTCGCATGTGGCTTTGTAGCTTTGTCCGCATTGAAGGTGTATCACATGCTAGGTCAACACTTGCGTATTTTTTTTTCTTTTTGCCTTCAATCCTGTTGCACTCTCTGCTCGTTTTTTTTTCCTCTATGCTTCACATGCAAGCAATGGAACTGTAGCAAATGCACCAACTGAATAGCACTGCAGACTTGGCTTTGTTCCACATTGAGGATACTTTTGCAATCTGCCACTGACCTTGTCCATCCCTTCTACTACAGGGTTCACCAGCTATAGCCATTTCTGGCGGTCTGCAAGACCAAATAATTAATTCTCAACCGTGTGGTGTGCCATATTTGGCCCTGATGTTCACGTAAGCTTTGAATACTGATCAAGATGTTTTCTTAGCATGTCTGAAAAGTGCAGCAGCCCCTCTTTTTCTGCATTCATTTGAAATCGAGATGAATCTTGTATAGTCGACCAATCAGGCGCCACCTGGCAGCAAGCTTTCTTGAGCCCTCCTGCTACCCCCTTGCGATTCAGGTGTAGTGAGGCTCCCAGTTTTCGAATACCCTAGGTCTCTCAAGAAGGCATGCCACCATTTTGAGAGGGCACACAGTATGACAAAATCACTATTTGCCTTGGTTGCATTCCTTTTCATGGATAATAAGAAAAATAATAATAAACAAACTGATCTCACAAAAAATATTAGTATGTCTATTACAATGAATAGATTTCACAATCTTCAAAAAAACATGTGGGCAAGAATAGAAGAAGTGTGCAAGCCTTGTTCGCAGTGCTAGCATCATTTGTGAGCTGGCATCAAGTGGTTCCCTTTGAAGACATTCGAAACCCAATATTATACTACTATATCAGTTTTTTTGCAAATGCACCCAGCAAAAGCTGCCTGCTAGGAAACTTCAAACTTTCCCTGTTCTTTCCATGCTTGTGCAAATGTGCGAGCGACAGCTAATGCACCCACCTAAACAAGCCTTGGAATGGAAACTGAAGTGAACAGTACATGGAGATGATTCTCTGCATCCCCACAGAGTGACAGCACTTGGAAGCATGCTGATGGTGCCATGCACATATGGTGTGTGCCCTCAAAGCATTAAAGCAAAGCACGCGGGGTGGTATAAAAGTTTCACTGTGCATTTGCATTGTCACTTCTTTAGGAAAATGATTTCTTGTTATGACTATTGTTTAAATAATACAGCTTTCAAATTGAATTTGGATGTGCGAGAATGGAGCTTTTTCTTCATTTGCATACAATGTGTAGTACCTATAACACGAAAACGAGAAAGAAAGAATTAGTTTTTTGCATGTTTCACACACCTAGTATCATTCACAATTGAACTGCCACTCAACTGGGGAAGCTAGTAGCAGTCATGTTTTTTTCTTTTTTTATCAGAGCAAGGATAAGCAGCTGAAAGCTGATCATGTCTGTCAATATCATGGCAGTTGTGGTGAAATAAGAAAATATAAGTCGCCGGAAGCAAATTATAAATTTTTTTAATATAATGCAGTCACTGCAACCAGTAAACTTGTCTAAATTGAGAACATCAGTTTCAGTAGCTGCCTGTAGTGTGGCACTTTTTTTTGAATGGCTGGAAAGGGAGAAGCGCCAAAGTAGGGCTAGTTAGTTGTACATGGTTGACACTCATGACGCGCTAGAATTGAACACTAAAAGACACACTGTTGCCCAAGTAGAACACACACGAGCGCGCAAGAGAGCTATGTATTCACTCGGCCTATGGTGTACGTGCAGGAAACTGGAGCTTCCTTGGGGAATTAAGTGGCTTTCTCCTTCTGGGGATTATATTTGAGTAGAAATTAACATTGGGGGCCTTCTAGTGATGAAAGGAAATGTCATTTGTGTATTAAGAACGCCAACGTATCTAAGCTTTAGGCCTCAGTGTTCGACACTTGCAAGATGTTTATCAGAGCTGATGACCTTTCAGCCTCCTGCTGGTCAATGGGGGCACGGTGCTGAAGATCTGCGACTTTGGCACGGCTTGTGACGTGCAGACCCAGATGACTAACAACAAGGGCAGTGCTGCGTGGATGGCACCCGAGGTGTTTGAGAGTAAGTGGCTTCACTCACTTCAGAGCGGCTGCAGTATGCCCTGCTGGGAATGGGCCATGCACAGCATACACATACACGGAAGATCATTCTGCAGCAGGCTTCTTCTAGTGGGGCGCCATTGGGAAGTATGGTTTCTCAGGAGACATTCTGTAGATGCCGCGAACAAGAACATTTCAGGACCGAGTGTCGCCTGCACTATAGAAGTGCACTCCATAAGGAGGGAATACTTGCTCTTCACTGCATCATAGCCACACGCAGAGTACGGTGTGTGCAGTGAAGCGTACTTCCTGCGGCCGTTAGTTATTAGAAAAAGGAATGCTTCAAGACGTCATCCATATCGATACACATCTTTCTGCGGAAACTGCCGTCAATTAACACTGCAGTAGGGGCTTATTTAAATATACTGTATGCATGCATGTGGATGAATGCATTTTTAGTGTGTTTTTTTTATGCTGCAAAAATCCAGAAGTGTATGCGAAGGCACTGAAGAATACCAGATGGCTCTGTTAAGCATAGTTATGTGATTCAGGCTTTCTTGGCTTGTAGTGTTGCATGTCAGTATTGCAATGAATAAACTGTGGAACACGTTGCCAAGTTTTGTGGTGAGTGTGGGGATTTGAAAGGCTTTTTGCACCTTGACTTGTTAAGCCTCTGTATTGGAGGCCTTTCAGCATACCATGGTCTTCTCTTGTTATGCAGGCTCCACATACACAGAGAAGTGTGACATCTTCAGCTGGGGCATCATTCTGTGGGAAGTGCTGACAAGACGCAAGCCCTTTGAAGACTGCGGCCCACCAGCCTTCTGCATTATGTGGGCTGTCCACCAAGGTACGTAGCCTTTATTAGCCAGCATTATACTTCTCAGGACACACTGAATTGGCGACACTGTACAGGTATGTAGTTCAACCTTGTAGTATTCTCTTCGCAGTTTTTGTTAATTATTTTGCTAACTGATGTACTCAGGGGTCAGCCCATAGCCATGCCTCAGGGAGAACACAAGCAGAGGAATTGGAGCTGATAACAGAAACATTTAGTTACAGTATTTACATTGCTGCCGTTAGCATGTTACATGATGGAGGGACCTGTTTGCTACAAGATGATGATAGCTTCTCTGGAGCATCTCAATGCTCGCGTTTCAAGCCCTGGTCTTGCCAAAATTTCCTGCAGGGGAAAACAGTAAAGTCCAGGACAGTCCAATCAAGATGTCCTCTTCATCTCTGCTATGAAAATGTACAGGTCACATGCCGCCTTTGTCCCAATTCAGGAAAGAGAGAAAAGGCACACCCAGTTTGCCCAATTGGGAGGGAGTGGAACACACTAGACACAGTACGTCACGGTATAACATAGTTTATATAACGAAATTGACAAAATCTGATAAAAATTTGTTTTAAAGAGGATTTTGTTATATGCAGCTTCGGTACCAAAATTTGAAATATAAGCACACAAATTAAACAAAAGGGGAACTGAAGGCAGAGCTCACTCAAAACACTTACTTAGCGGTAAGAAATCGTGTTATTATTGGGATAGCAATCATGTGGACACTCTCAACAGGTTCTTTCCATCGCCGCCATGTTTCATAAGAAGTCCGAATTGAGAACATGTCCTCGCGCATCGTAACTTTTAAGAGCTGGGTAAAAGCACGCCAGCACTGCTGAAGCAGAGATCAAATGAGCCAGCCCAACTCTAGCGCCTGAAGGGCGCATACAGTACACTCCCCACGTGTTAGAAGTGCTGTCGAGTGCTCATATAGAAAGCAAGCCACCCGTCTTTAACAAACATGATAAACTTGGGGTGGTGTTGCTCGAGTAACAACCTGGAACTTTGAGTTTAAGAGCGTGGTCGCGATCGCTGGCATGCGTGCTATTCTGGCAAGCGTGCTATTCTGGCAAGCGTGCTATTCTGGCAAGCATTAGTCCACCCTCAACGCAAAAAGACTGTGTGAAAAGAGCACTTCTCTCTGGAGTGGTCGTACTTGCTTACACCAGCATTTTGTAGGAGTGTGCAATATCGGATCCAAAAGAGTTGGCTGCCCGCTTTACCTCATATAACATTACAATTTGTTGCTGTTGCATTGCATTCAACAGACCGTCCTATTCTTGCGAAAGATAATCGGCTAGTCACGAAGGCTACAGTCCCGTGAATTTGTGACGCGGTGCAAGACAGCGAAGCGGGTGATGAGTACGCCTCCGAGGATCCCTCGTTGTCAACATGGTCTCGGAGAGTTTTCATCAGAGGCTAATCTGACATCTCCTCAATAGTGACGATATTGTTTCCCTCATTAAAGAAGAATAATAATAATAAAGAAAAAAAAGCTGAATGTCGTCGGTGCCACTTCATGCATGCCAAGTGAAGCATGCATGAACGCACAGCGTCAAAAACGAAGAGTGAAGGACACGGATATGACGGAAAACTATTCAGTGAAGAGCTTCCATATGAAGCACAACTTCACATTTGTGACGCTTATAATGAAAAGCACGGAACTGCCAACTTCTTGTTTTGAAGGAAAGGGCACCGTGCCGTGTGCGGTGCTGCCGCTTCGTCAGCGGTGGGGCAACCACGGAAGATGCATGCTCGTGCCAAAATGACAAAATCTGTAACGAAATTCCTGGGTCGCTAATGTCGAAAATTCATTATATCAAGGATTTCTCCTGTTACTTTGTTACATGGAGGTCGCAAATACATGTGCTTCTATGGAGTAACAGCGGGGAATGGAAAAACTTGGTTGTAACGAGGAATTCGTTATGTGAAGGTTTTTTATAAGCAGGTTTAACTGTACATTGACATGTTGGAGGTGTCGCACATACAAACCAGCCATGTAGTCAGGTGCAGTGATGACTCCTAAATAGTGATGCTGGCACAGCTTGAAGGTTAGTCACCAAGTGAAAAACAACGCCTGGAGGGCACCAGAAAGTACGGGAAACATGCCTGAAGATTACTCTCAAGGACTTGGCTAATTATTCGGTGTGTCTCGTATCACTTTGAACAAAGCTAGCAGCTTCGGCTGCAAACATCTTTCTCTAGGCCATAGAACCGCCTAAATCAGTTGGGTCTATGCAAAAGGGTTTGGCGAGGTGGTGCCGGCAGCCCTGAAGGGTGCAAGGGTTCAGAGCACGACTGTCGTGTTGTCATATAAGACAATTTATGTGTTTAAACTATTCATGCAATTTGTATGCTTACAAAAAAGGGCCCTTGTGATGTTCTTGGACCAATCGTATTTTCCGCTCATTTGCAAATCAGCAAAAGTCATCTTGTTCTTAGCACGAAAGTTAGCGCAGGTGAGCTTACGTTGATTTCTTGAAATATTATGCACCCATGTTACAGCACAAAGAGAGCAAAAACAGACAGCTGAGTCGGCGAACAGGAATCAAAGTGCTGTCATCTATTTTTTTTATACTCTGTTGCACTGTACCAGTTCCAGAATAGCAAAGCAACCTACCCAATCCTTAAAAGAACACTATAGGCGACTACTATTAAGTCAGTGTTGATTGTTGAATTAGAGGTCCAGAAACTTCATAGTGTTTCTTTTGTGCCAAAGAAGCGCTGACTTTGAAATAAAGTCACGTTTTAGTGGTCCGCATCGGGTTAGCGTACTTCGAATTGCCCGCCACAAGGAGAACGTCTCGCGGGACTGTTGCCGTGCACGTTGGGCGACATTACTGCTTGGTCGTCGACACCAATAGCAGCACAGCAAAAGTAGCGGGAGCCACAGCAGCAACAACAGTCATTGAACAATTTCCCGTCATAGCCTCCGCGATGGCAAATGTGCTTGGTTCAACTGTGCCCCACTTGATCACTCGACCTGTTCAGTTCAACCAAGCGAAAACCGGCAGTTATTTTTTTCCATGAATGAAACAGAAACGAACAAGCAGCATTTTATTACCTCTCTTGATGCGCTGAAGGCTCTTTATTTAGTGCAGTTAGATCGATTATTAGTGATTAATTGTAGGCGGTATGTCTGACATCACTGGAATCATTTTGAGAATGTCCTAGTCGTGGTGTATGTGTTCTCGTGCATTTACTTTAATTTCTAACTAAGAAGGGCACTGCTGCTGATAATATTGTCGTTTTAGACATCATACATTGAGCTTTCACTCTGATGTAAATTGTTATTTGCCTTTAGTACCGCTTTAATGTTAGGAAAAATGTTCGAAAAGCTGGGTGAGTTCATGTATAACAATATGTTGTCCGACCTGACACAATAAAGTATAACAAAAACTACACAGACATTTCACCACTTATGCGGGAAGTCCCGTCTATGCGAGAATCCAGTCTCCATCACCATAGCCAACTTGGGGATGGAGTACGTCGAAGCATGTGCCCTGGAGACCCAACCTTTTCAGATAAAACTGTACCATAGATACGTTGTGGACATTTTCATCATCCTGAAGAGGGCAAATTTGGTTGCTTTCTATGAGGCACTGAACAGTGTACACACTGCCATTAGTTTACTTTGGAAGTACAGAAGCACAATGCCTTGCCTTTTTTAGATATACAGTAAATTTCCGTTAAGACAAATTCTTGCCTAAACGAACAACATGAGAGTGTTTGTTTGGTTTCCCATACACTCAATGCAAAAAAAATCTGCTTAAGATGAGCCGTGTAACAGGCCTCTTCTGTTCACAGCTCAGGAAAAGTTACTGGATGCAAAAAGAAAAAAGAAAAATATTTGCACCTCGAAGAAAAGCTTGCAGACTTTTATGAGCAACTTGACATATATTGACTTTGTCAAGGTAGCGGTATGCTGTGGGAGCATATCTGATAGTGATAGCAAAGCCTTTAGGAAGGTCAACGGTCAGAAGAGTAAATTTTTTATTATTTGAAGGAAAATTGGGGTTGTCTTTCCCTTTTTATCTTCCTCTAATCGGCAAAGTAGGGTCGTGCTACAGTTTCATTGTTCAAATGTGATAGTAGAAATTTATTCATGAGCATACTTATTAACTTGCAGAATCAAGTACTTGTTAGATTAGTCTAGGTACTCAACTTGAAAGCATAGTTTTTATCAAGCTGAGCCAAATAAATGCTTTTTGTTGTTCCTTTCCTCCCCATTGTAAGTATACTTCATTCAGTCTTTTCAAGCAACATATTTAGGTGTACTTCGCATGTTAGCATTTGGTTTTTGTGGGCACTCCTGATAAGACAGAACTCCTGATAAGAGGAACAAATGACCGTGGTCCCTTCAAGTTCGTCTTAAAGGGAGTCTACTGTACTTGTTTGTTGGGCTTGTAATGGTGCGGCGCAAACAGCAGTGTACCGGAAGCAATACGATGCCAAAGGTTTTTTGTCATTCCACTCGCATCACCCGACCGAGCACAAGCGGTCTGTTGTGAGGACTTTCTTGTCCTGTTACGATGCTCTTCGTTCTGATCAGCACTTGCAGGGGTGAAAATGAGTTAGCTATACTTCGGATAACATTTTAATTTAGTGCTGTCGCATTCATTGCTTCACCCTCGGGGTGAAAGTGATTTTTTTCCAACTTGACTACATCGTCCAGGAAAAGAAGACAGGATGGAGATAACGGTGTTCAAAAAAAGTGGGGGTAGTGTCCGTTTTCTGGAACAACCTAGCAAAAGACAGGTGCACAGGTTTGCTCATTCAGCGCATACACGAAAATATTGTTCATTTCACTGTTCTGCTCTGTTATACGGCGGTTATTGACTCAGTGGTTGACGCTCTCATGTCAGGTAAAAAAAAATGGGCGGCTGTACATAGCTAAAAAAGTAACGGTTTTAATACAAGGGCGAAGTAATGATTGCAATTGCAACAAATTGTAATGACATATGAAGTGAGGCTGGCAGTTGGCTATCGAATACAATGTCGCATAACTCCACAAAACGCTGGCATAAAAAACTACTGCCACACCAGGGAGAGCAACTTTTTGCAGTCTTTTCGCGATGAGAGTGCAGCTTGTAGAAGTGTATGCAAGCCACCCACTGATGGCTGCCAAGCTAGCGCGCATGCCACCAATCATGACTACACCCTTGGAAGCAAGTTTTATAGTTGCTGGTTCAGCAACATCACTCTACCCTCGTGTATTTTCACGCTTGTTCAAGATTGGGGAGCGGGAGATTTCTTCTGTGCTTAAGCCTCTATGGCAAGACTCCCGAGTGGGGTCACGCCGGGTTTTCACATGTGCCCTTCAAGCGACGGAAATGGGCTTGCTCATTTGATTTCTGCTTGAGTCGGGTTCGATCGCCTCCTCCGCTCGCACACTTTTTTACCCGTGGCTAGAACATACAATGCGCAAGCGTACATGTGGACATTATGCAGGACATGGCGGCTATGGTGAAATCTCGTCCAGAGCATTCATATAACAGCTATCACAACAATATCACAACAATTCAGCTTCTTTCCGAAAAATGCATCGTCGGACAAACACTGTTTGACAGGTGCTGTGGAATGGGGCTACACCTGCTTTCTTCTGACTGCTCTAAACTTGCTCAAAAGGTCCTTTCTAGCTGCTCTAAGCCTGCTACAAAAGGAACTTTTGACTGCTCTCGGGGAAATATCTGGGCTCATGAAATTTCCATCAAAGATGAACTGCTGCTAACATGATTCTGAATTTGCAACGACGAGTGATGGTTTACTTTTTAATGATAGTTTATTATGGTTGCCTGTGCTCAGAGCCTCAAACAGTGGTGATAGTAAAGTGTCTCTTTGTCCCACAGGAAAGAGGCCTCCCCTAATACGTGGCTGTCCTACTGTTCTGGAGGAACTGATGGTTAGGTAAGCAGTGGTCCCATTTACCATCTTGCTAAGTATGTAAATTGTAAAGCTAAGTGCAACATGGTTTGGTGGTGCTTTATGTATGAGAAATGCCGCTAATAACACAGCTTACCTGACTCCTGTGACAGTGCAGCTTGCTGTTGTGGAGCTAAAAACTGTGTTTCTGAACTAGGTTCAGAAACACAGTTTCCTGCATTCTGTTCAGCGCTGTTCCTGCATTCAGTTCTGAACTAGGTTGTCACAAAGGGTCTTATTATTTAACAGTGAAGCTCTTTAAGCCGGCCATATAAACATTGGTGTGTGTACAGAAAACCCTTTGGAGCACCTTGTGTTGCCTAGCAATAACAAAGCCCCACAGCTAGTTGTCCCATCAGACGGTCGCACGACTCCACCTGCAGACCTCGACACTGCACGCAGCCGCTCTTCATCGAACGTCTCGGTGTGATCAGTCGTGCCAGACATGAGTATGCTACCAGTAAAAAGTAACAATTTCACAGTTACAGTTACCCAAGTAAAAAAAGTAACTGTGTTAGAGCTACAGTTACGAGTTTCGTAAAGTAACCTGTCGTAGTTACCGTAACAAAGTACATAATTACTTTTTCATTAGCGTGTGAAGTAATGTATTACATACCAAATGATCGAATTAATTTAATATATACTTACGAAAAGGTTCGGGAAGTTTGTAACGAGTGAAGTCATTGTTCATTTTTAATTTTTTGTTAATTTTTTTTTACCCTCAGGGTTTTCACATTACAGAGGGAAGGGGCATGTTACATGCCAAAAAATGGTAAACAACAGTCGATAAATATATACAAGAACGGAATTTCAATAATTGGCAGAATAATACAGAAATACGTTATATGTAAACTACGTCAACAAAAACAACGCAGCAGTAGCGATAATCGCAACAGGTAGCACAGGTAGCACATGTTCAAGAACCAAGCAAAGAACAACAAACAATTCAAAAAAAAAAGACATGACAAATATATATATTTTAATATATCACGAAGCAGATATCAAGCAGTGCCAAACAAGTTTTGTAAAAAAAACATTAAAACATGATGTGTCGGTGATTGAGGTAGCTGATCGCGGGAGTAGACTCCATTGAGATGTAGTGCTTGGAATGAAAGCGTGCAAATGGGTTATGGTTCTGCAATGAGGAACATGAACTTTTGTGAATGATCGATTCTGGGTGATATGAATGAGAGGGGTTTAACAAAATGTTCGCGAAGGCTATCGTTATGATAATAAAGCTTATGAAAGAGAGTCCCTGTAGGGGCGTCTGTGTAAGAAGGCGTTTGGTGTGTAGCGACAACACGGACCTGAGCTAACGGGGGGGGGGGGGGGGTCTTGACTCCCTCCCACGCTTAGCTGTGCGTGGCTTTGCCGTGTCTGGGGAAAAAGGGATCCTGGGGGTTGAGCCGACGCCAGGTGATTGGACCTTTAAGGCCCCCCGACAAAGGCAACACACCCCTTTGGCCCCGGCTTCACGTAGACGGCACCCCTGAGCTGACCCACCCAGGGGAAATCGGCAGTCGCCTTTTCCTGTCTCTCTCTCCCTCCTGATCTTCGTCTTTTTCCTCTTCCAATCTTTCCTGTCATCTCCTCACTTCTGGTTACTTCCATCTTCCAGGCAGCAAGGGTTAACCTTGTGTATGTGGCCTCTCTTGGTCACATATTATTGGGTTATAGTGGCTTTGTACAGCTGGCGCTGGCATGCCTTGTGCTGCCGCGTCCCCATGTTAGGCTCGATGGTGGGCGGCTGGCGTGGCTGCCGAATTTATATATACTTTATGGCCTCTTTTTCATTTCCGAAACTGTCTGATCGCCCTCCTCCTAAGAGGGGGCGCACCGAAGCAACACGGAATGTATTTATAAAGCCGAAAAAATTTTTCCCGCACTTCCATGTGATCCACTGTGAAACACAAGAAAAGAACGCAAGAACCATTTCTCCATTTGCTGTTTCTAAACCCCTCACCAATACATAGGTCCAGGATATCAGGCTACACGTATGGCTAGCGGGGACCTTCTTCTTGAAGTCCAAACCAAGACCCAGTATGAAAACCTGACAAAACTCACCTCTTTTGGAACAACGCCCGTATCTATCACACCACACCGCTCCCTGAACAGTTCCCGAGGCGTAGTGTCTGATCAAGACCTAATTAACCTGACAGAGAGTGAGCTACTTGAGGGCTGGAACGAACAGCATGTAACGCATGTACAGAGAATTAAGGTTAGGTGCGATAACAAAGAAACCTCTACAAAGCACCTCATTCTTACATTTTGCACAAGCACACTTCCAGAATATATTGAAACAGGCTACATGAAGTTAAAGGTCCGACCCTACATCCCCAACCCCTGACGTTGTTTTAAGTGCCAACGATTCGGTCAGGGTTCTCAGAGCGGCCACGGCCGTCAAACCTGTGCAAAGTGTAGTTCGCACGAACATGCCACAGACAATTGTGAAGAAACCACTACACACTGCACGAACTGCGATAGTGGACACCTCGCTTACTCTCGCACATGCCCTACATGGAAACATCAAAAAGAAGTACTCACACTGAAAGTAAATGAAAACATCTCGTTTAGGGAGGCGCGCAAGCGTCTGCTAATGCAGGGACCTTCGTTCGCGGAGGTGGCACGAAAGGGGGCAGTGCCACCAAAATCCACGGCGCCCGCACGTACCACACAAAGTGGACGAGCGGCAGCGCCATTCACCCCCTCAGCGGAAGTAGCACAGGCTCTTCCTCCACCAAAAGGCTTGCAGGCCTCCGGACATAAGGCCCCAGGGCCTTCTGTCTCCACAGATAGCCCTAAGACCTCCGTGCCTTCACGCGTGAACCGCGAGCGGGCATCCAGCACCTCGTCCGAGGTGATGGACACAACAGCAAGTCCAACGGTGTCTTCGGCACCGAAAGACAGGCGCGGCTCTTTGGAGCACGCCAGAAAATAAAAAACCATCATTATGGGGCCTGACAAGGCTTCTTTACTTGACGCAATACTTCTTTAGTACACACAGCACTCATTTACAATCAAAATGAATACACAAATAATACAATGGAACGCCAGAGGGCTGCTTAGAAACCTCGACGATATTCAGGAACTCTTACACAAACATTCCCCAAAAGTGCTGTGTGTACAAGAGACACACTTAAATTCCAAAAACACCATTTTTCTACGTCATTATGTAATATTCAGAAAGGACCGCAATGACGCTGTAGCGTCATCTGGTGATGTGGCCATTATAGTTGACCAGGCCGTAGCATGTACACATCTACCGCTACAAACATCCCTTGAGGCAGTGGCTGTGTGTGAACACTGAGTGTCGGTCGGAATGCGCGAAAGGAGCAGAACAGGGCATGGAAGTTGCTTTGGAATTCAGCAGACAGCCAAAAATCTTGACAGCTTTAAGAAAATAATGTCTCAAGGCAGGAGAACGCGTCGGCAGGCCAGAAGAGAAAGCTGGCACAAGTTTTTATCAGGGATAAATTCATATACACAAGAGGCTAAAGTCTGGAACATGGTTGGTAGGGTAGCAGGAAGACAAGCACACTCACTCCCACTCGTAAACACGCAGGGTGACAGCCTGGAAGATCAGGCGAACTTCCTCGGTGCACACTACGAGCAAGTGTCTAGCTCGTCACACTATACTGAAGCTTTCCAAAGATACAAAGAAAAGATAGAAAAGCAGAAACTGGAATAGAAGTGCACAAATTACGAGACATATAACCAACCTTTCAACTTAGCTGAGCTACAAACATCACTAAACTCCTGCAGTAATTCTGCCCCAGGCTACGACCGTGTCACGTATGAAATGTTGAAAAACCTGCCGCTCAGAACGCGAAAAACATTACTTTCCCTATACAATGATATCTGGTTTTCTGGTACCATCCCTGCTTCCTGGAAAGAGGCCATTGTTATCCCTATTTTGAAACAAGGCAAGGACCCTTCCTCAGTTTCGAGTTATAGGCCCATTCCACTTACAAGCTGCCTTTGTAAACTTGTTGAGAAGATGATAAATGCCGACTTTTACATTTTCACGAAACACACAATCTGCTCGACCGATTCCAGTGCGGATTTCGAAAGGGTAGATCCACCACTGACCATCTGGTGGGCATCGAGGGAGAGATTCGAGACGCTTTCGTCCACAAACAATACTTCCTCTCTGTGTTTCTCGATATCGAGAAGGCATACGACACATCATGGCGTCTTGGCATATTAAGAGACCTGTCTCACTTGGGTGTGCGCGGTAGAATGCTTTCCATAATCGAGAGTTACTTGTCCAATCGGACATTCCGTGTTCGTGCGGGCAGTATTCTCTCCCAAACATTTGTCCAAGAAACGGGAGTACCGCAAGGTGGTGTACTTAGTTGTACACTTTTTATTATCAAAATGAATTCCTTTCACCTGTCCATCTCCCGCAACATGTTTTATTGCACATATGTCGATGACGTCCAGCTTGGCTTTAAGTCATGCAACCTGGCAATGTGTGAGCGGCAGGTTCAGTTAGGTTTAAACAAGGTCTCCAATGGGCAGAGGGAAACGGATTCCGACTGAACCCACAAAAAAGCACGTGTGTCTTGTTCTCCCGAAAGAGAGGCATGCACTCAAAACCCGACATTGAACTGAACGGCCAACGCCTGTCTGTTGATGCAGAACATAAATTCTAGGCTTAATCTTGGACAACAAGTTGACCTTCGTACTGCACATCAAGTATTTAAAAATAAAATGTTTAAAAGCCATGAATGTTTTAAATGTGTTGTCACGTACTACGTGGGGTAGTGACAGGCAATGTCTCATGAATCTGTATAGAAGCCTCATTCGCACCCGCTTAGATTATGGGGCCGTTGTTTATCAGTCTGCGACTCAAAGCGCTTTGAAGATGGTGGACCCCGTGCACCATTTGGGCATCCGGCTTTCTACGGGTGCTTTTCGCACCAGCCCCGTATAAAGCCTTTACGTTGAGTCAAATGAGTGGTCGCTTCATATGCAGAGAACAT